CACCGGGTGCAGTCTTGTTATTTATTTTTTCCGTACGCGAGTTGATTTTTTAACCCTACAGTTCACGGATTGTATCTAATAAAAAAGGGCTTTTAAAAGTCTGCTCCATGACACCATATAACAAGCCACAGTCCTCTAATCCTGGCTCGTCCGCTCTGCACAACAATCGATCCCTCTCTCAGGGGCGGTGCGGTAGAAAATAAACTAGATACGAATGAAGGGAGTTCTTCCCATTCTCTCCATAAATGACAAGCGCCTCTTTCCTACCGGGTTTTCTGGCAAACGCGCATTAGTGGTGCGAAGATCAATAGATAGACTCGAACAGCGCCTATCGTCATGTACAGCTAGAGAGGCACCTCCAAGTAACCAACAAGCTTATGTACGACCTAAACCACATCTCACCTGGTTACCACCTCTATCCATTCCATTATCTACCGATACTTCTATCTGAATCGCTCCCCTATCTAACTACGTACCTATCCACCACACCATCCAGAACTCAGTAACCCTAACACGTCTAATTACCCTAGGTTCCCCTGCACAATAAACGTCATCGATTCTTGCAACTTTGCACTCGACCTTTCGATCCTCTTGTGTCCTCTTATCTCTTCCTTATTCTCCCCCTTGCTCCATGTCTTGCTCTTTCCTTTTTTCCATGCCTTACCTCTGTTGCTATTACAGCGAGGTCCTTAGTTGAGCACCATACAATCATATACATCAAAACAAAACAGTAATAAAATCCATTTTCCAAAGCAGTGTGTTGTACTGATGGGCCAACTCATGGACTTAAAAAAAAGCATGATGGACAATGCTTGGATAATGCTTGCACAACGCGAAAAAAACGAAAAGAAAATCTAGTGACAGCTAAAGGGGGTAAGACCCATTGGCATCAACATTCATGTATGCATCTATGTTTTATATCCGTCTCGTCTAGGGTAAAGTCCATGGTATAGGAGTAAAACAATAAAATTATGCTAACAATCATGTATCCTGCGCCCTCATTGCCTTCATTGCCTTCGGATGTGCTGCCTTGTTTTTTGTTGTTTTTTTTGGCTATGTACAGGTGAATTAAAAAAAGAAAAATATCCTCATGGAATCTAAAGGGTCAAGACCTATTGGTATCAAGATTCATGCATGCAAGCATGTTTCACGTCTGTCTCGTCCAGGGGTAAAGTCCATGGCATAGGAACATAACAATAAAAATATGCTAACAATCATGTGTCCTTTGCCCTCATTGCATTCACTACCTTTGCATGTGTTGTCTTTTTTTTTGGATCCTTTTTTATTTTTTTTTTGGCCTACATTGCCTACGTTGGCTATGTACAGATGAATGAAAATTATCCTGATGGCAGCTAGAGGGGCAAGACCTGTTGGCATTAAGATTCATGTATGCATGGATGTCTCTCATCTGTCTCATCCAGTGTGAAGTCCATGGCATGCGAATATAACAATAAAAATACGCCAGCAACCGTGTGTCCTTTGCCTTCATTGCCTTCATTGCCTTTGCATTTGTTGTTGTTTTTTTTTTTTTTTAGAGGGAGAGAAAGATAAAGAGAGAGAAAGGGAGGCAAAGAGAAAAGAGAGAAAGACAAAGGCAGAGAGAGAGAGAGATAGACAAAGAGAGAGAGGAAAACAAGGAGGCAGAGAGGGACAAAGGAAGGGAGAAAGAGAATGACAAAGAGTGAAAGAGAGGAAGTTAAAGGAAGGGAGAAAGAGAATGACAAAGAGTGAAAGAGAGGAAGTTAAAGAAAGATAGAGGGAGAGACAAAGAAAGAGAGAAGGAGTGTCAAAGAATAAGAGAAGGAGTGTCAAAGAATGAGAGAAGGAGTGTCAAAGAAAGAGAGAAGGAGTGTCAAAGAAAGAGAGATGAAGACTAAGAGAGGGACAGGGAGTCAAGGATAGAGAGAGACAAAGGTGAGAGGATAAAATGGAATGAGGGCTACTTGAACAAAGTCTATAGTGATCATCCTCCAGCGGGGTATCAAGCAAGGCGTGCAAGTAACAAAACCCGCAGTCGAGAAAAATGGTGAAGTGTATGTATATGAACATTTTTTGGTATTATTTGGGGTGCCTGAAATGGTCAAGAGGGATCACTGAACAGCCGATGGTGTCTGAATTTGACTCTTTGACGAGAATCTCAATGCACGGCGAGGAAAGGAGAAGTCTATTGAGAACGACGGGTAGCACTGGTCAAATGATCTTTTTGCCATCAGCGCGGCAAAAAGAAAGTGCAAAAAGCATTTCTATTCTGACAGGGTGTTTTGATTTCCATCCATGCTCCTGTTCAAACAGGCCCCTGTTAGAATTGAAAAAAGACCAAAAACATATGGCAATTTATTTTTGGAAATTCCCTGTCAGTGCAATACTAACAGGGGGTGTCTGACAGGGGGTGTTAGAATATCTTTTTCGCATCCATCAACCTCTTCATCCGATGGTAGTACTGCTTGTACGATTCACCTCGTTCTAATCCCATCTTGATCACCTTCTCAACCTCATCTGTTCTCTCAGTCTGCGTCATAGCACTCTCCACAAACACTTTCTCGCATCTCGCCCACGGCCACTTTCCTTCAGGGTCACGACTCAAGACTGCATTCATGGCATCAGACGCTTTGCGATCCATATTCGCCAAGCACAACAACCTTGAACATCTCTCATCGAACCCGCCCGTCGTGAACTTTGTTACTCCTATTCTATGGAATTCGTACAGGAACTCTCGGACGTTGGTAATCAAGGGACCGTGGATCTTGATGTCAAGAACAGGAAGCAGATGAGCCTCGACCAACCGATGGTAACGCGGAAACTCATTCGACAACTTGATCTCGTCAATCTTTCCACCCTTCTTAACCCCCAACTCCTCATTCTCCTCTCTGGTCACAACACTAGAGAATGCCGTCCTCCCCATGGACCTCTCAGCACTCTCTAGGTCATCCAGCATGACATTCCACTCGTTCATCGCGGTCTTGGCCTCAGCGATCTGACGTGTCAGTTCCGCCAACTTTGGTCGCTCCTGGTCGCCCTCCTCTTGGCTCAACCCTTGGATGCGCGCGGCTAACTGCATCTTCTGTCTCGTCAACGTCGCCAGTTGCATCGAATACTCCTTCATCTTTCCTCTGGCTGCATGGGCATCCATAAAGTCAGAGCCAACAGTCTCCTGCATGTCAACATCAACGTCCATGCCTGCTCCCTCATCTCGTCCCGACGTCAAGGTAAGTGCATCTAACGCACCAACAACCTTATTGCCAACGTCCTCGTTCTTCTTTGCCGTATTCGCTGCCATTTTCTATGACCCAATTAAAGGAAAAGAAAACAAACAGACAAGCAGAATAAACAGAAAACGAAATGAGCTTTTGAAAACTGATGATCAACCAGACTGCACCCCAGAAAAAATAATACTGTTACTACTAACGTCAACTTCCAGTACTTTTTTGCTCAGTGATCCACTTGATTCAAAATAAAAATTAAAAACAACACCCAGAAAAAACTAAAAGTTTTCTGATGCAAATGAATTCGGATGAGGGCACACCTAAATGCCAACAAAGACGAATCCCGCGTTTATTTGAACAAGAATGTCCTTGATCAAAACTAACGGTGAGTTTTCTAATGAATCTCTGCTACCGTGTTATATGAAGACCTCAAATGACCACACAGATGTATGATCGCACTTGAAAGCTCCAACACAAAAAGGTAGAATAGTAACCAAATAATAACAACGAAAGTAACCGCCTGTTACACTTCGTATTAATGATCAGTCTCTGCTGTAACCTTGTCACTAGTGACCAGATGCACGCACGAAATGACCACAAATAAAAGAAAAGGATCCTGTCCTTGTTGGATTATCCTGAAAATAGAGAAAAATCCTGACAGTAAAGGTCCTGTTCTGTAATGATCCGTAAATGCTCCCGTTACGTCCTGAATCGCTCCTGTAGATTGATGGAGTGTTCCTCGTAATGGGTTGAATGAATAAATAAATGAGTGGATGGATCCTGTCAATCGTTGGACGGATTCTGATCCCGATCCGTGTTGTATTTATCAAAAAAAATGAAACTTTTTACGCTAGTCACGCACAATCGAATTGATAAGACAAGAGAGGGATCTTTGTTAACAGCCCAGACACCTCCATTTATGTCGGTGTCTGGTCATATGACTAAATTACTGTCTCTAGCCTAATTACATTAGCTGACACCCCCGAGACAGGCAAATATGCGACACCTGAAAGGCCTCCTTAACAGAAGTAGTCATAGTGAATGAAACAACAACTGACGAGAAGAATGTCAGTGACATCAACCCACGGAGTGAAACAGTGAAGAAGAGAAAGAAGAAAAAGAAGAATGCAAAGGGTATTGCGAAAATCGAATTGAAGAGCAAACTGCGTGGTGAATCCGGTTTGGGTATGAGAGTTCATGTAGGTCCATTGCCGATGCATCCTCTCGACGGGGGGGAAGGTAGCGGTGATGCTAAAGTGGCTGTCGACCAAGCAAAGGTGAAGTATGGAGCTATGGGCATTGTTAAAGAAGGAAGAGATAATGCACCGGCCGAGTACAACATCGAGGATGTAGTAGACGACGAGTACCTAAGGGCCTTCGAAAGATTTTCAATTAGTGATAACCCAGTGTCAGACGCATGTGATGGTTACCCATTATTCTCCTTTGGAGAGAAGGACTTTGAGTTAGTACACAAGCACTATGGTTCAAGTAAACGAAAACATCAGCCAGATAATCGACTGTTTGTTCCTGTTTATCTTAATCAAGAGCGACATCTTGCACTCATTGATACTGGTGTCACGAGACAAGAGCTTGCTCTTGTGACTTCGCCCTAACGAGTATAAAAGGGCCTTAGATAGCAAATCTATAGCTCTTTACTTGGTATCGCCAATACAACATACTCTTTAACCTATTCCTTATACTCATTTCTTAGTCCTTGATCAAGGTTCTCTTTATCTACTTCATTCTATTGCTTGGTCTGCTTTCTTGACAATACCAAGTCATACACCTAAAGAACCTTGGATCAAACTTTGTCTGTTTTCTATTGATATACTTCAGCGCTCAAAAAAAAAAAAAAAAAAAAAAAAAAAGCCTTTTCCACAACAAAACCAAACCCTATCTTCTTCAAGTTCTTTCCTCTTTTACTACCATCTTCCGTACACAACCCACAACCCTCAGAAACTACAACAACTCTTCACTTTCCGTATCAACTACAATGCTACCCGATAGTGAGATCCTTACAGCCAACGCACGCTTCCAAGCACTGATGGACCGAGTAGCCACACTTGAACAAATAGTTCAGACGGTCACTCCCTTGCAAGCCAAAGTCACCGAACTCGAGGAGACTGTTCAGAAGTACCGTGATATGCTGGACTTCATTCTTTCGAACGAAGATTTCTTCACAAGCCTGACCGTCAACCTCAACCCTCGATTACTCAGCCTCGAATCCAACGTCCAGAAGATGACGTCACAATTACCACCCATCACTCGCGCAGAACTAGGCAAACTATTTTATGATCACAAGACCGATGTCACCAACACAGTGAGTGCCATCTTCCAATCAACTACACCTCGCTCCAGCAATAGCTCCCCTTCGAGGCCAAAAGTAGCACCCCGCAGTCTTCTCCGGCAAGCGTGAAGATTGGAAAGGGTTTCAGGCTCAGCTGGAACTCTTCTTCGTTGCAAACGAGACCCTCTATCCGAACGACCACGACCGCATTGTGCTGGCTATCTCGCGCCTCGGTGATACTGCAGCGTTCAAGTACATGCAGAGATACGTTCCGTCCTTCAAGTTGCCTGTCGAGGAGAGACCCGCATGTATTTCTAACCTGGATCAGTTCTTTGCTCTTATGAGTAAGAACTTTGGAGTCTCCAATGCTCACGTCCTAGCAGAAACCCAACTCCGTCAACTTAGACAGCGCGGTTCTGCCATCGACTATACAAACCGTTTCGTCAACCTTGCAGCGGATACAGCATGGAATGATAGCGCAATGATTTCACAGTTCCGCCTCGGCCTGAAGGAGTCTGTTCAAGAAGCCATGGCAAACTACCCCGAGCCACCTACCTTTGCCGAGTTTTCACAATTGGCTATCGACATCGACAACCGACAGTACGGCTATGCAGTGACCCGTTCCGGCAACAAATCTTCCAGCACTCCGTCCCGTTCCACCACTGCCCACACTTCTACTACCACTCAAGCCTCATCCACCCCAACTACCGCGTCCACCCCTGCTACCTCAGCTCCCGCGACCACTTCGATGGACATGGATCTCTCGCATGCTCGCCATGGTCCTTTGCCACCGTCTGAGCGTCTTCGTCGTCAAAAGGAAGGACTGTGCACCTACTGTGGTTCAGCAGATCATTGGCTTGACGACTGCCCCAAGAAACCTGCAAAGCCCTCGTTCAAGAACGCCCCAAAGGCAACAGCCTCGATCTCGGCCCTTCAGCCTACACAGACTAGCGACCAGCCCGATGCAATCTCTTTCCAATTGGAAAAAGATTCAGCCTAGACAGTAAAGTTGGAGTGTGTCTGGGCGAGCTGTATAACAAATCTCCAAATGATCCTCTGCTATCCCCTATTACTATTCCAATTACTCTTCACTTCCAAAACTCCTCACTACCAGTCCATGCAATGATCGACTCAGGAGCAACCATCTCATTCATTCATCAAAATCTAGCACAACAGCACAATCTTCCACTAGCACAACACTTATTACAAATCTCTCTTGCCAATGGTTCAACACATACCTCTCATCACGCCACCACATTGGTTATGCAATCCCACTCACAACACTTTTCCACACACACTTTTCAACTCATTGCACTTGGCAATTATGCCATTATTCTTGGCATGGCCTGGCTCCGCTCACACAACCCATATATCGACTGGGAGAAACGAACCATTACTATGCCATGCCTCCATCAGCACACACTCGACAAGCTTTCCCCCCTTGCACAATCAACAATGCCTCGATCCATCCCTTCCTTCCAGGAACAAGACCGAATCCTTCTGCCACCTTCCAAACCCAAATCCACTTTGGTTCCCACCAAGTACACCTCAGGATCCAACCAACTATCCAAATCCGCCAAGAACCGATCAGCAACCAACATCTCCATTATTAGCAATACACAACTCCGTCAGATCCTCAAGACCAATCAAGGAGTCGGATACATGCTCGACGTCTCCCGAATCGAAGAACTCGCCAGCGCAACCACCAACGACAACTCTATCCCTGAATCAAAACCCACAGTCCAACTGCCCGAGAAATATGCCGAATATGCTCAGGTATTCTCCAAGATGCAAGCCGACAAGCTACCGCCACATCGACCCTATGATCACAATATCCCTGTGGTCGAAGGAGCCACCGTGCCATTTGGACCAGTGTACAACCTATCACAAACGGAACTGCAAGTTCTACGCGAATATATTCAAGAAAACCTTGCAAAAGGGTTCATCCGTCGATCCGAGTCTCCAGCTGGCGCCCCCGTCCTTTTTGTTAAAAAGAAAGACGGTTCTCTCCGCCTCTGTGTCGACTATCGAGGCCTCAACAAGGTGACTGTCCCCAATCGATGCCCTCTGCCACTGATCTCCGAAACTTTCGACCGACTAGGCAAAGCCAAGTATTTCACCAAGCTCGACATGCGAGGAGCATACAATCTTCTCCGCATCAAGGAGGGCGACGAATGGAAGACTGCATTCCGCTGCCGCTATGGCCACTTCGAGTATGCGGCCCCTTCATGTGCAGAGGATATAAAAAGGCATATAAAAAATATCCAAAGTCCAAGGAACGGAGTGTTGACTTCCATAACTGGCATATCTCTTCATAGTGGGCAACAGAACACAGAATAAAATAGCAATAGACAGCACAAGAATTTTTAAAATGTAATCTCTCCCCTGTATTTCACGACAAAGATACAGTTGGGAATACAAGTGCTTTAGATGATCACATACAAGAACTACTCTGTCGAATCTTGCAGTGAGGGTTACAGGTTAATAGTAGATGGACATATTCAAGAGTTTGGTGTGCGAAAAATAAGAAGACTTTGTTGTTTGGAGAATGTAGTTGTGTTTAGTAGGATAATCGCGCAAGGAATGTTACAGTGGTTGTTTTAAATGGTTGATATCATACATACACTCTCCTCTAATGGACGCGGTGGATATCGTCAAGATCTGCAGAGATGTAACAAACACCATATGATAATTTGGACTTGAAAGGCCTCCTAGGTGGAAGTGTCGAAGACATGTTACATTTTTAAAAAGTTCATGCTATATATACAACCACAAATGCCAACTGTT